TATATGTTTACCACTTTATAGATATGTATTTCTATTCTCATAAATAATTTGATTACGCTGCTCAGCAGCCACTTTTTTAAACAAATGTTAAATATGAAAATTAATATATCTTTAGTGTAACGTTTTTACTCCAACAAACTATATTTACACGTGCTTTTTTAAAACATCTCATTGTTAAATTGAAGTTGTTGATAATTCGTCAATATTTCAGTTTCAAATCATATTTTACAATAAGAAATATTACCTTAATTAATCATCATTAAGTAGAACATTATATGTTTATACAATCTCAGCTATATTGTCTAATACTTCTTTTACATGGCAACAACATTACAGTATTAACCGCAATTGAATACTAGAGCGAGTCACAGACGTGACTGCATGGGAAGAGGTTGTGTGAAAAGATGTACTTCTAGTGTTTAACGGTCAGCGGTCAAAAATTGGCAATTTAATTCACTCAGAGAAAAGTGTGAAGCAAACGAGGAAACACTTGTCTAGTTGACCAGTAACAGTAAAGATCATGACAGGATAATACCCCTGACAGCTCCCTGAGCATTCAAACAAGACTGGAAACAGGTTATATCCAAAGATCAAGGATAAACCCTTTGTGAGACTTATATTCCAGTCCACAGAGGCATATTATTCAAGGAGAAAATGGAACACCTAGTTGGAAAGGCTCAGCCCTAGGAAAGCCTGGTTAGATTTGCGAATGATATCGCTAATGAAATAGCATGTACACTGGGAGAACATGACGATCTGAAACAGAGGTCACTCTCGTAAACTGGAAGACTGGAGGAAAGAGGGTAGAAGTGTGGCAGTGAAGTGAGCACTTGAATGTGACATTATTACTACAATAACCTGGTGCCAAAATTCTCAAGAGTATGTAATAATAGTAAAAGTAATACGATTAAAATGACGGTGTTCAAATAAAAATGTATTATAAATGGACAATCGGAATTCTTTTGTACTATTCTAGAAATCCTATATTTGAAGAAGTACTGCTACGATAAAGATACTACTTTGACCGTAAATGTTTTGCGGATCTTTGCTACTACAAAGACAATGGTAAAAGTTGCTGCTTCCCTTTAGTAGGTCGGGATTAGAAACACTCTCTGGTCTGTGCACTGACAAATGTTCTGTGATGGGTTCCACAACTGAAGTGAGGAGAGCTTGTACTATGGCTAGTACTAAACTCCACATACGTGTAAATAAATAATACATAGACCTGAATGATATAATATAAATAATCTATTATAATAATACTCAAGTTTTGTCTGTCCTGAAAATATGTGCGCCCTTTACTATCTAAATACGCATGCGCGCGCCCTTCATTCCAAAGGATGCAAACAAAAGGAGGAAGTAAAAGTACTTTAGTAGACATTTTGTACAACAACATATTAAAAGCTTGTCAACGTTTTTATAAAGATCTAACGTTAAGTCGTAGAATAACGTTATAAGTTTATTTATTGATAGCATTAAGTACGGTGTAAATTAATATATTTTTCGAATATAGGTCGCACTTAATAAAGGTGTAACTAATGTTAGGCCCAAGACAAGTGGACTTATAGATATCGATGTCTGTGATCGGAATTCTTTTGTACTATTTTAGAAATCCTATATTTGAAGAAGCACTGTTACGATAAAAATACTAATTTGACTGTAAATGTTTTGCGGGTCTCTGCTAGTACATAACTAATTAATACATGTAGAACTGAATGATGTAATATAAATGAAGAAAAAATATGAAAGAAAAACGAATGATGTAGTTATTTCTCTCGTTTCGCGCTCATGGGTTATAGAATGTTTAGTAAAGATGTTTGTGGTCCATGTCAATTTTAAAAACGTTATATTAATGATCTTTGGGCGCACATCATATTTATATATTTTATTTATTAAATAGCATTTGGTATCACACATAATATTTTATAAACTGCTACTCAAATAAATTTGCGTTCCATATCAGTTTTCTTGATTATTTAAGAAATTTCTTCACAGTTTGTGTTTTATATATTACTAACTAAGTAATTATGACAAAATTACGAGGCTTACTGATGACAGTTTTCTTTTTTTTTACTTACTAACAAAACTTCAGAGTTATGAATTACGAGAGAAATTTGGGCCCGCCTCAGTTTTATGGTTTACTTGTCAAAAACGTTTGAGGCCCATATCAGTTGCATAAGGCACATATTTTGGAGTTCGGAGCATATGTCAATTTTACATATTTTTTATCACAGAGTTTACAGTGCTCATGGCACATTTAAAAGCCTTGGAACTCATGCATTATAAAAATTACCTACTAAAATTGTCCTGAGCATATAATTATTATTGTCCTAGATTACTCACTGAAGAAGTTATGGGCACGTAATTATCAATATCCTATATTACTTAGTGAAGAAGTTATGGGCACATAAGTATCAGTATCCTCTATTACGTACTAAACTAGTTCTTGGCACATAGTTATCAGTGTCCTAGATTACATACTAAATTAGTTCTTGGCACATAATTAGTAATATAATATTAGCATTTAACTATTGAACGTTGAAGGTTGAACATTTAACTAGTATGCAATAAAGAACTAATATCTTATATTCTATGCATCAAATTAACTACAGTCTTGGCGAAAATGATTGCATATTATTATTAAGATAGAATACAAGTACACTTAGCGCTGTCAAACTGAGAAATGTATGTTATATTATACATCTACATATCTAATTTGTATAATGAAACAGATTCTATGGACATCATACAATTTATTAGAACAGAAAACAATTTTATTAGACACCTGTAGAAAGATACGTAATCGAGCATTCCACCTAACACAATAAAACATTGCCAATATATATATAATGTTAAAATATAACATCATAATTAGTATAAATATCGTTTGTAACCTTATATCAGTTCATGTTAAAAATTCAGTATTTGGTTGGTATTCCTCGTACGCTAATAGCCTCAGCAAGGCGAAGTGGCATGTTGTCGATAAGGGTCACTAACTTGTCACTGGGTCACTAGAAGGCGTTGCAACTCAGCTACAGTACCTGGTTTATGGTCGTGGTTAGCAATTTTCTGGCTCAGTTCTGCCTAACAGTTCTCAATGGGATTACAATCTGGATACTTTACTGGCTGTGGACATCTTGTAATGCCCTCCTGGTCGAGATAATCTTGTATAAATGCGCACTGTGACAAGTGGCATTATCATCCTGGAATATGAAGTTATTGTCAAATCTTGCCCTAGCATATGGCAAAAGTATTATCTCTATGTGATTCCTGTATAAAGTGCCATTGACGTTTCCCTGGAGGATATGAAGATCAGTTTTTCCACCATGATGAATAGCTGCCCAACATGCACTGCACCACCTCCTGTGTGTTCCCTATGGGAAAAACAGTCTTACCTCATTTTTTTCTCCAGGAATACAAATCTTACCTTCAGCTTTAACAAGACGGAAACAACTCATCTGAAAAGATGACATGTCACCAGTGTCCGAACTATAAGTTGGCATGCTGTAAGTTGGCAGTGAATTCTGGTTAATATCAGGTTTGCAAATAGCCCTTTTTGCCAAATAACCTTGTTTGATCTCTCTCCTCTTTAATGTTCTTCTGGATACCCTGGAATGAATGCATTCATGCCACTCCTGTCATAAGTAAGATGTTGCAAGATTTATTTCAACCTTGACATATTAACCTGATTAAAACACGGTTATCTCGGGCAGTAGTTTTTCGGTGTCTACAAGTGGACATTCCTGGAACAACGTTTTCAGTACTCCAATGACGTTTTAGATTTCTGGATACAGTACACTAGGGTACCCAACTGTTCTGGCAATGTCCATTTGTTTCATATCATTTCTGGACAGTCGAACAATTTAACTCCCTAAAACGTCTGGCACGTGACCAGACATGACTCTACACCAGGTACAGAGAAGTTGTCTGAATAAATAATTAATATTTTTCGAGAAAGATTACACCAAAAGTACACCCTTTTATACAAAACAGGCATGTATGTTTGTTTTGACGAACAAATGCTCAAAACAACTTACATCGCCCAGAATAACATCTAGAGCATCAAACGAATATTATGAAATCCATAGATAATCACCATAGGTTATAATGAAATAAACAAATTCAGTAGTGTTACAAAAATATACATTTAGACACTAACGACACTTGATAACGAGGAACCCACTTTTAAAGAAATAAAAGGCGTTGTCAGATTTTGAATATAGTGTTACGACAGTGGAAGTCACGTGACGCTAGTAACACGTCATGAACTTCTAGAAGGATCCTGTCCCTTCTTGAATGCTCTAGCGTTTACTAGATTTTGGTATTCTTTTATATATAAGACGGTCAAGACGTGACCACAACAATGTAATGGGCAATTGAACTGCGGACAGAGAGAGAGAGAAAGAGACATATTGTTGAGCACGTGAGACGTTGGTTGTGAATTATAGCGTTTGTTATAGCGTGACTGTGGAAATTAAGTGTATTGCAAAGTTGTATTTAGAAAGAATAAACCAGTTTTATTTAAGAAAGGACTTGTATCACTAAAATTTCTTCGGAAAGAAATTATACGGAAAATTAACTAACGAACGGAGGCGTAACAATATATATATATATAT